GCTGAATAAATAAGCTTTCCATTGATGCACGGTTTGTTAGGATAGGACAATATTTGGTCGAGATACAACTATTTAAAAATCTAGAATCTGAGGGTGCAAAAAAAATCTAAATATTGAGAAAATCACCTTTAAAGTTATCCAAATGACGTTCTTAGAAATGCATATTACTAATCAAAAATTAGTTTAGAAATTTACAAAATATCTTCATGGAACATGATCTTTACTTAATATCCTAATGATTTTTTGGCATAAAAGAAAAATCGATCATTTTGACCCATACTATGTATTGTTGGCTATTGCTACAAATATACTCGTGCTACTTATGACTGTTTACTACTTATGACTGGTTTTGTGCTCCAGGGTCACATATATCAGTGCAGTGACAGAGGACCAAACAAAACACAATAGAAAACCACCAGCACCCTTCATAATCCAAACCCATAAATCCCCACCCGATGACACGATTCACTGGCAGAACAGGCTGATGTAAAAGAGACGCCAGGGTCGTGGGATATTTTTTCCGTGTTTATCTGACGGTGACGCCGAGCTTCTCCAGAACGCGCACGCCCTTTTCCTGATACTCTTCCCGCGTCAGCCAGAAGTTGTCCTTGTCTTTCATGATGTCAGCCAGCACCGCCCCACCCAGAAACACCATGTGCTTGCGGCGGGGAGGGTCCTCGATCCGGATCTTGAATTTCTATGGGGGTATTAAATAGACAGCGTGACCAGAATTTCAGGGGAGTGGAACAGAACGGACACTGACCCACATACGAGCGAACGCTCTGAATGGATCTCTTTAATACACATAAAAAGCACACTGTCTGCTTGGGAATGAGCGGCAGACCCAAATGGGAGAATAATGAGGTGTACGGTGTACGCGGAGCCCGTGTTCAGACCCTGAACGGGATATAAACAGGTGGCTGAAAGGGTCTCATGGAGGCCTTCGTGTAAAGTCGATTGCTTTTTAATTTGCCTTAAACACAATTTGGGGATAAGCAGACAGACACGCCGCTCGACCGTATCGGGCATGCCATCTGTAATTGATCATCTATATATAGAGGGCCGACATGCGGCCCACTCTGAGGCTCCCCAAAATGCTTTTCCAGGCCAATGGCCAGGTTTTAAATGAGATGGAGCTCAGCTGGGCAGTCTGGGGCGTCCTGTTTAACCGAGGCGGTTTGGTGGTGTGATGCAGCCCCACCTGCTGGTACACAGGAGGCATTACGACACATCTGAGTGTTTTTAAATACTCTCTTCTGTCCCAGCTTAACCCTATAAAGCCTACTGTATCATATTCGATAAGCAAATTTCAAGTGTCTAAAAGCTGAAAAATCTGTAATCTACTACATGCCTTGACAGTTTACACTTTTTTTTTTACAAGTAAAAGGCCTTTTAGTATAATTGTATAGACAGGTTGTGGTTCGCATATCATGTAAATGTAAGAATAACCTTTATAGTGTTAGTAATATTTCACTATGAACATTTACTGGACTGAAGAAACTTTACTGTACTGAAAACTACATTACACATTATTTACATTTTTAATTAAAAATCAATCGTCATTGTATTGCACTGCATTATATGTTTCGCCTCACACTAAAACCTAATAGACTTTTGATCATAAAACTAAGCATTTAAATATCATCTTACAATGACATATTATTTGGAACCAAATTCAAACCAAAAATTATTCAGACACCTTCAACATTTCTCACATTATCGCAGTTTATTCGCTATAGTTTAGAAAATGGTAATAAAATATGACAAGATCTCAGAGTTAAACTGTGCCAGAACAAATTCGTCTTGATAATGTCATACAACTTTGATAGAAAGATATGTAATGAATTCGGTTGAATAGCTGTCAGCGGTTAAATTTATGTACACAATTAAATAATACCAATTTAGATCAACTAATTACCAAGCAATGCTTCATTTTGTTCAGTCTGTGGTGTAAAAAGGGTTGCATTAGAAATGAAAGAAAAACACTTAAGCAAAACATGGTCAGGTCAAAGTGTCTGAATAATTTTTGGTCCCAAATTGTTATCAATTTTACTGGTAGTCCACTGTATGAAGAATGTTTGGGTATGATTTGTCACAGTTTACTTTATTTTGCTATCCTCACTTACATAAATGAACTATAGTGTCCTGCACCCACTAGTAAAAAAATATCAAAAATAGTATCATGGTGTCTGAATAATTTACATAAATTAACTATAGTGTCCTGCACCCACTAGTAAAAAGATATCAAAAATTACATCTGGTGTGTGAATGATTTTTGGTTTGACTGTATGGAGAGAAAACTGACATTTATATGCATTTTATGTAAGTACTTTCATTGATTTATATGACAAGCTATGAGAAGTTCCTACTTTTTGGCCATATAAATATCAGCAACTCCACTAAATTTTGCTCATTTTAGGCCTCAATATTTTTTCCTCCTTCAGTATGATATGTGATACTCACCAAAAATACAGACTTATTTCAAAATTTGTTTTAAAGCAACTATAGTGAACTATAAGTAAACCATCTTTACATTGATTTAAACACTGACTCTTTGCCACTTTCACAATGTTGCTAAATCATTGTGAATAATCACTATATCACACAGCCCTACTTGCGAAGAAGTTCAAACTTAGATGCAAATAGGCTATTTCTGTCTGCTGGGTGACACGTTTACACGTGCATAGAAATAGCTAACTTACCGAGAGCTTGTCAACATCACCCTTCAGTACCCGCTCTAGATAAAGCTGTTTAAGTTCCCTCTCTAGTCGAGAGGGCAGACCAGGGTACATGGTGGATCCTCCTGACAGAACAATGTGTTTATAGAACTCAGCCCTGAGGGACAGAGAGACAGAGAGAGAAGGGAAGCACAGATAAAAACACACAGTGAGCTTCACTGATACTGAAGGGGTGAAGGGTGAAGTTACTGAAATGACAAGATGATCTTTAGATGATGCTTTGTTTATTTTAGTGTCACATAATGAGTGTCACATAACTGTGTAGTGTATACTGGAGGGAGGATCCTACCAGCAACTGGTAGGTGTGGAATTAGAGCTCACCTGGTGTCAATGTCTGCTGCTTGAATGGTGTTGAAGAGAAGCTCAGCCACTCCGACCCCTTCCACGTTAATGAGGTGGGGCTGGAACAGAGCTTCTGGGGCCTCGAACCGCTCCCCTCCTACCTTAATAACCCGGCCATCAGGGAGCTGGAGAACAGAGAATATGAAAAAAAGTTTAAGACTTTAAATCAGTCACCCTGCCATTCAGTGCTGGGTGTTACTGTAATTAAATTACTTATCCACTGAAAAAGTAAAGTAAGGGATTCCTGTTCATTTTTAGATAATTTAATTGCAGTTACTTATAAAGTACTTGCGTTACATACTGTAAATAATTTCAACAGTTCTAAAATCAATATTGAATTTGAAATCTGAATTTACGGTCTAAAAATAAAATTGAATGCAGCGTCTTTAACCCTCTGCACGCTCACTTTCAGTTTTTCCTGATTCACAGAGAAACCTAAATACTCAGATACAGATAAGACTAAAATCAATCGAATCTAAAAAGGGCCTACTTTTATTTGTGTACACTGACAATAACAACAAAACATTGTGCTTTTGTAAAATAAACAAAACAAACAGGGTGCGCTTTCTGCCGTCCTGGTCTCCGTGAGCAACTTTCTACGCATCACAAACTCAGCGAATACTTACATTTACATCTTGACACGGAGACATGAGAAATATGTCTATAGAAAGCTTGAAGTGTCTTCTTTTAAATTAACGAATTCAAATCGAAAACGAATATTCTCTGATTATGTAACCCGTATGAAACTAAAGCGAGATGCAGTCTTTCCCGTATCTGAAAGCTTGAAGTGTCTACTTTTAAATGAACGAATTCAAATCGAAAACGAATATTCCTGATTATGTAATCCATATGAAAGCGAGGTATAGTCTTTCCCGTATCTGAGCTCTTTATATGCAGTCACCTGCGTGCAAACGCCCTCACCTAGATACAAAAAATAGATAAAAAAAAACAAAACAAGATTCATCTAATTTTCATTGTTTTTGAAAGAAGACCTGCTATGAGGAATAAGCCGGAATTTACCTCAGAAGAACAGCACGATCTGACGCGGCTTTATTCAGCGGAGGAGATCATTTCTGTAATTTATTCTTACCTACATTAGTTAACGTGATATTTTTGCATAAACCTGTATGGATTTTACTAGTTGGGCTTTTCCTGAACATCTTGCCAAACTGAAATGTATTGTTTAACTTTTCTTAAGCTTTTTTGTTATTCAGATATTTTGCAGAGTATTTCTATTTGTTAACCAAAGAAGGTTACATTTTTATAAAAAGGTTTAAGTATCACAGTTGTTTTAAAGCTAAAAGGCTAAACTATTCTATGTTTGACTCAAATTGAAGAATAAAGAGCTTAATTTCTATTGTCTATGCTTTAAGGTTTATAGGGATTTTAAGATGTAGCCTAATTAGCTATCTGAATTAAGTTACTTATTGAGTAACTAAATTACTTTTCAGACAGAGTAATTAAATACAATATTGATGATGTAATTAGTAATAGTAATTAATTACTTTTTGAAAGTAACTTACCCAACATTGCTCTTTAAATATAAAGAGCTTTATTGAACATTTAAATAGGGCTGCCAATACTTTAAAAAGTCACAATAAACTTCTGATGCCATTGCTGCTTATATAAAATGACTGCTTCTCTAAAGACGTCATTAGATGAGATTTCCAATCCACCACAATTTTTTAATTAAATTGAGTATTAAATTCAGCAAGGTCAGTGTTAGAATTCATAAATGCATCATACTTTTTAGTAAACATTGCTGTTAATTACCAGGTATCGTTATGTTGGCATATAAATTAACAATATTAGATATTATTTTTTCTTAAAGAAATCACCAAAAATTTAATTCATTCAACTTTCATGTTGTTGCAAAACTGCATGATTATTTTTATAAAATATAAATGAGTCCCTTATGCTCACCAAGGCTGCATTTATTTGATAAAAAAATGCATTAAAAACAGTAATGTTATAAAATATTATTACAATTAAAAATAACTGTTTTCTATGTTAATATAATTTAAAATGTCATTTATTTCTGTGATCAAAGCTGAATTTTCAGCATCATTACTCCAGTCTTCAGTGTCACATGATCTTCAGAAATCATTCTAATATGCTGATTTCCTGCTCAAGAAACATTTCTTCTAATTTTCAGTTTTGAAAACAATTGTGCTGCTTAATATTTTATGCAAACTACATCATTTTTTTCAGGATTCTTTGAGAAAATCATAATAAAAAAGCATTTATTTGAAATAAAATTGTTGTGTAACAATTTAAAAGTCTTTACAGTCACTTATCTGAATAAAAGCGTTAATTTCTTTACTATTATCAGTGATGAAAACTGTTGTGCTGCTTACAGTTTTTGCGGAAACTGTGGTATATATATTTTAGGATTCTCTGGTGAATTTAAAGTTCAAAATAACTTTAAAAAAAAATAACAGAAAACCTATTGTAAGATAATATAAATTACTTTAATGTCACATTTGATTTATTTAATGCATCCTTGCATCCATCTTAGTGTGACTTGCATTATTAAACTGTCTACAGTGGCAACAGGACATCAGCAAGTATTTATGATTTCTGATAAGTAACCTAGCTGATAAATGCTGTGGTATATAACCACACCTCGTGTCAACATGTCTGGTTTCTTATCACATGCTTCACTACTTCAAATTGACCTTGATCATGAGATGTTCCTGTTAGACTGGCTGCACTGAGCAAAGTCTCAGGTCTGAAGGGTAACCCACAGCCGAGCATAACCCCGATGACTAATGAGAAAATGGCCATGGGTATATAAAGAGCCCATTGAGGAGTGTCCAGAGGTCGGAAACGCTGAGCTTCCCAGCTGGGGAAGGACTGTGGCCACGCAGGAAATGATGTTACATGCTGGTTAAGCAACTCCGACACCACACAGCATTCCTTGTTTCAAAACTTGCTCGTTTGAGTCTTTCTTTTTTAAAAGAAAAGGTTTAGAAAGGAAATGAAAGAAACACCACATTTCTTTAACTCAGAGTAAAGAAGGAACTTTGCACAGAGCTGCCGCTGCCCCCTTGAGGCCGCTCTGCTTAATCACACATCCAGCAGCCAATCAGAATCCAGCAGAGTGTGGTGTCTCACAGACAGGATGTCAAAGTGTAGACTGAAGAATTTCCCTGCTGCTAAATCCAATCCAAAGAGCATATTACCATAGAAACGCAGAACACTTATGCGTCCCGGCGGGAAATTTGTGAAACCACATACTAAAAACCCCAGCCAGAAAAACGTCTGCCTCACATACTGTAACATTTGAAGTGTAACTTTCGAACATCTCAGCGAGAAGGATACTTTCACCCCGCAGGCCGTTAACACCCTTTTAGAATGCAAGCTTGTGTTAAAACGGTTCGTAAAATTCCTCCCAGTGTCACATAAAACTGACCGTGTAGGACTCCACCAATACGGTGGTCTCCAGAGCAAGCTTCTGTTCCTGCTCGATGTTGTATCCCACGTAGCAGAGGTTCTCCTTCATCATGCGTACCGTCTCGAAGTCTGCCGAATGGTTGAAGGCGTAACCTCGCAGCAAGAGCAACTGTGTGACAAAAACCGAAAAACATTTACCACATTTTAAGGAATATAAGTCATGTTTTGTATCATCTGAAATGTGCTGTGACTTAAATAATTCAATCAACATTAAGCACGCAAAACATGCACAAAGCGTGCTGAACGAGAGAGGTACATGAGCCCAAGTTTATTTGCATAGCTAGGCGGTAGTTTCAGATTTGCTTTAAAAAAAATTGTTTAGGCTTGGCATTTATGTTTTAAATGAATGTAACAGTAACTTATGTTTTTGTTTTATACTAATATTTTTTATTCCTGTTCTGTTCTGAATACTGATAAATTCACTTATTTTTTCATTTCTGTTTTAAATTGTGATAGAAGTAAAGGATTTGTTTGAGTGAGGGGAACTAAAATACATGTTTATCGTGTTTATAATGTCTGTTAACTTTTCATTTAATTTATCAGTATTTTACATTATTTCTGAATGTTGTAATAAAATGTGACTTAACACACCTTCTCTGTGTTTTTTCCTCAATAGTGCACTTTTGAGCCAATGCAACCTTTAAAATAGTTGTATCATCTGAAACATGCTGTGACTTGTATTCCAAAGCAACTTATATAATTAATTTGATGTCAAGCATGCAAAACATGGACAGAGCGCACACAAGAAATATCAGTTCTAGCACTGCTAACTTGACATCGTAGCTTATTCATCAAAATCGAAGTCAACCAAACATGCAAAAAGTTACACATCTCATTTAAATTGTATGTTGTTTGTAGCAAAGGGTGCTGTTTTACGGGGAAATTGGGACACAAGTGAAGTACAACATGATAAATTATAGTTTAGCAACCAAATGTTAGCCTACATCGCGAATATGTAAACGTACGGATTCGTGCCGAGTTAGTACTGTAGTACGTTAGCCCAACGCTGTTTCAGTTTTGCTTTAAAACGAATTTGTTTATAGGTGTGGAGCTTATAATAAATGTTGTGAATAATGAATGCCACTATAATGTTTATAGTGATTATAATGTTTGTAAAGTTTGATTTATCGATATTTACATTATTTTTGAATGTAGTAATAAAATGTGACTTAGGTCCTTGCACACTTGAGTCCGAAATACGTTATTTTTTTCCGTATTCGTCATCCTTTCAAAAACGCAGAAAATCGAACCTACTCCGATTTTTTTTATGACGGACGAAAGTTTCGGAGGTGTTGTAAATGTGATTGACACAACATGAGGTCGTATTTATTTTTTAACGTGTGAAAATTTCGTATGAGAATTTCGGACTCGGTGTGCAAGGACCTATACACTGATGCAACATATACGTGTTTTTTTCTCAACAATCCAATTTTGACCCTGTGCGACTTTTTTCCAGAAAGTATGGTAAACACTTCTTAGGTGACAAGTCAGAGTTTAAAACAAAAGGGCGGTTCAAACTGAATGCACGGTTTCATTCCACCACACTGCTTTTCTATAGTTTTTCTGCATACACAGATGGATGTGTTTCACTCTTGCATTCACGCATCGCATCTTTTGCAGCTTTTCGTACATGGCACAGCATTCTAGAAATGCAGGGCTCAAGTTCAATACAAGTTAAAGGGATAGTTCACACAAAAATGAAAATTCTATCAGCGTCTATCACTCATTACATTCTAAAAGTCAATTCCTATATGACTTTGGAACATGAAAGAAGACATTGATGGTAGGCTTGTGCCGGTATCCGGTAATGCGATATATCACGGTAATGAATATGCACGATATTGTTATCGTGGGCACTTCTAAATACCGTGAATAATTATATATTACAAATTATTTAGAATTTTGATTGCATTTTAAGAATACTTTTCCCATCAACTGGTCAAAATGCACAACACCGCTGTATGCTGCGTGAAAGACGCGTGCGCACTCTGATGTAAATAAGCGCTCCAATATTTAATAACAGGTTGTTAAAATCGAAAGCTGCAGCTGTGGTGTTATTTAATGAGCTAACATGAACTAAGACCTGTATTTTTTTAACAAAGATTAATAACTCATTGTGAATGTTAATGCATTAACTAAGGTTAACTAATGAGGTCTTATTGTAAAGTGATACC